ACTAATTCCAGGAGGCCCTTTCACTAGACCGGGAGTAGATTCTCAAAGCTTTTCAAAATGATTTATGCTCATTTTTTCAAAAAATAATGTGAAGACCACAAAAGTTATCACACGGATGATTACTTTCTGACTATACCTCAGAATATATACCTTTTTTGAGTATCATCTCTAATTTATCTAACTTGGTTTGAAGTGCTATTAACTTTGAATTTATTGTATTGATTGAATTGGATGTAGAAGATGTATGAGTTTCCAGTGTATTTTTTATTGATGCTGTTACATGATTTTTAACTTTAAATGCTATATCCGTTGTTTTTCTATTAAAGTCTTTCACTCCATTATCAAGTCATTGAATTTGCTCTTTCAATTCTTCAGAAGTATCATTCAGAAGTTTCGATGACACAGCATCGCTTAAATCTATAGCATCACCTATATTACACAATTTTATACCATCAATATCATAATTATTATTCTTAGTTAATTTGAAACCATTTCCCGGAGGGCCCTAAAGTTGATTGTAACTAGGCATCCAATATTGACCATGACGATTGATACTCATTTTTTTTTTATTGTAGCGCATAAACTGTACGGTAGCCACTACATAAATGAGAAATACCCAATTCTTGACTTATATATCATAGAAATTTTGGGTAAATTTTGAGTAAAATTTTCACTTTATAACATTTGCTTCCTTAAGCCCTTCAATGCTCGAAATTATCTCATTTCAATAAGCATTAGTTCTTGCATTGTAGGAGGCTATAGGTAGCTGCGATCGATCAACGAGCTCATTAGGATCATCTCAGTAGGTGAAATTTGTTGATTGATTTCTTTTTGAGACTTTATATTGAGGTAAAAATTTCCTCATTTTGGTTGATAATCCACGGCCAATATCCTTTGCAACATACATATTATAAAATATTTGTATGTCGCCATCTGTTGACTATTAGACTAACGACAGTTTGTTAGTTAACGACGATTGCTTGACGATTAGATTGTTCATAGCAACGAGAGGAGAGTTGATTTATCTCCAGTTTTTGACTGAGACTTGAGTTGACCACAAGGATTCTTTCATTTTAATTAATTTTTTTTTTAATCTGAAAATTATCTGCAGGAAAATTTGATGTTTGCTGAAAAATTTTTATAAAACATGAATGAGTGATAGCTAGTTCCACATAATGATGAGGTAACTGGAGAAAAATATAAGAAGTAAATAAAATTTTACGCATACGCCCGATTTCTTTGAGATTTTAGTTTGTTATACAGTTTTTTATGCTGAATAAATATATATAAATGTATGTATTAGGCGTAAAAACCATTGCTTTACATAGTTATTAAGGTTTGAAAATTGGGAAATGTACACTATCTTGAATAGTTAGTATTTTGCAAATACTTGATGTTGGAGAGGATTTCGAATGGAGTGGGAGGGCCTGTTAAAAATTTAGACCAGCCATTTTATAGAGCAGAAGAAATCCTATCTGCTTTTAAATTGGCTATGAAATGTGCCCTTAAACTTAAAAGATATAAGGGTGCGACTCCACGAAAAAAAAGACGCTTCAAATGATGTAAAAAATCGAAAAATTTCTTTTCTTTGTTACCATTTTAAATGGAAAACGGTGTTTACCATTCAAGAATTTTTCCATTTTTTTTTGAATATTAAAAAAATTTTTTTTTTAAATGTTAATTGAAAAGGCGCTCAACGGCATATTCTGCCGGAGCGCTCAAAATGCTTGGTTTATAGCGCGTCTTCTTTATAAAATGTGACAAAAAATTATCAGTATCTCAAATTTGTTACAGGTAAAGAAATGGCTGATGTACATTGCGTTCATGTTCATAATTATGGACTGTTCTTTGGAATGAATACTTGTGATGACAATACAGGAATAAGATTAAAAGGAATAAATTTTCTAGAAGCAACTTTTGAAGATCAAGATTTGAATGAAAGGGATGAAGATGGTGACACCTTAGAACCATCTAATAATGATACTGACATTGATAACATTTAAAAATCACTGAACAACGATAACGATGACAATGAAGTTGATCAACTTAGATCGTGGGCTATTGAAGAAAACATTAAGTGCTCCAGTTTGGATAAATTGATAAAAATCTTGAAAAGAAAGATATTACCTGATTTACCTCAATGTTCGAATACATACTTGAGGACTGCATCAGCTGAATATGATATAGTATCCATAAAAAATTCTTCTATTGACGGAATTCTTAGAGAGTTTGTTTACTTAAGGAATTAAAAGTGGCCTTTTATTATCTGTTGCTGATTACCATGATTGTGACTTAGAACTAATTGTCAACATTGATGGAATTCCAATCGCCTAATCATCTGGTAAATCTTTTTGACTTGTTTGATGTGAAGGATTTTATATACCTGATATTTATAAACCATTATAGTTGTTTTTTATTATGGTGAAGGTAAACCTAGTTTAACACATTATTTGGAGCCATTTGTCGAAGAATTAAATCTTTTACTTATCAATGGCTTATCTATACATGATAAACACTTCGTTGTTAAGTTGAAATGTATAACAGCAGATACTCCAGCAAGGTTCTATATAAAATGTGTGAAACGACATAGTGAATATAATGCATGTGAACCCCGCACTGTACCTGGAACTAGTATAATCTGAGAAAAATCATCTAGTGTTGTATATCTAGGACTAAATCATCAAGCGAGAACAAGCGATGCTTTTTGTGGAAGAATGGATAAGGACCATCACATGGGAACTCCGTCTTTGGAGGAAATAACACTCGAAATAGACATGATTAAACATTGTGCATTGGATTTCATGCATTTAGGCTGCTGTGGTATTATGAAAAAATTGCTAGAAATGTGGATGTATGGTTTATTATAATTTCGATTTCGTCCAATGCAAAAAATAGAAATTTCTCGTAGGCTTTTACGTTTGAAAACTGAGCTTTTTTCTGGGTTTCACCTAAGCCTAGATCACTGTTCAGTACTAGGAAATGAAAATGAGCAATGATTTTTCTGTTACATTGTGGACCTATTGTTCTACGAAATGTTCCTCTACAAAAATATTATCGTCATTTTATTTCATTACATACTGCATTCAGAATATTATTTTCTGATCAGCAGTCAATATCTCTCAACAATGTTGCTAGAAAGTTATTAAGAGATTTTATAGAACTTATGCCAATGTGATATGGTAAAGAATATCAATTTATTAACGTGCATAATTTTTTACAAATAGCTGACGATGTTATTAATTTCAATTGTTCGTTGACTAGATTAACTTGCTTTCGATTTGAAAATGCCCTACATAAAAGTAAACGAGATCTTCGTACGGCAGTGAAACACTTAGCACAAGTATGCCAACGAGAGCACGAGTGATTATTAAAATTAAGTAAAGATATTTCTTTCCCTAAAAAATATGAAATTTTTAAATCGTACGTAGAAAACGGTATTGTGTTTATAACCAAATTAATTATTAATTATTCTACTTGCATTACTGATAAACGTCCTGATAAATATGCACTTTTAAAAAATGAACAAATAATGGCAATAACGTCTATCTTTGCATTAAAATCAGTTACATCAGACGTAGAATTAACTGCATCAGTAATTAATATCAGAGAAAAAATTTGGACTATACAAAAAAAATTTTAATTCATTTCGAGAAGAGTTGTCTAGTCTTAATGAATGGCAAGTCAATACACGGTTTTATTGAAATGAAAACTATTCAACTTATAAACATCGAGCGAAAATTAATTTTCATAAGATTGTCTATGCAGTCTATAGGTGATTCTAAAAAATTTGCTTTACGTACATGTGACACTTAATCAGCAATGTTTATCATACCGTATTCATACATAAAGTTTGATAAATATCATAATTACAAATTTAATCAAATGTAAATTAATATTTTTCAATATTTTTTATTTCTCTACAGAGTTTTTTTTTAAGACTTCCATCATTTAGCTTAAGTAGACAAATACACATAAAATCTAATTTAAATAATTATTTGCGTAAATAAATATTTTCATAAATATTTTCCTCAACTTAAGTTCAGGCAAACAAATAATTCCCTACTCAGGGCCTGCGTAGGAAAAAATAGGGAAGCCAAAGCTAAATTTTGAAACTAGGTACTCCTTAGGCTTCAGACAGAATGCCTTATTTAGGGACGCCACAGGTTTGCCTTCACGTGCCCTAACCTAAACTCAGGACGCCTAGGTTATTTTCCACACGGGTAGACGTTGTCATTAGTGCTTTATGGGGTGAATAAAGGACAAGAATAAAAAACTACTAACTTTCCACCTCAATGTTGCAATGACATGTTAAGACTTTGAGAATGAGGAAACTGTGGAGTTAAGCAATTGTTCTCAAGTGGAACAGATGATGCCATTGCTTCGTTTTTCAGATCTGGCAGCATTGTATTCTTACTGTGCTTGAGATACGTGTTGTATATGTAAAGTTTTTGTGTTTTGATCAACTTTTTGCAAGCTGCAAGAGCCTTTTGGATTTGGAAAAATGAAGTGATTTTCAAAGGGAAGGATTGCATTCCAAGTTTGAAATTAAGTGTGATAGTTTCGCTAATCGCAATTTAGTTAATACAGGAGTAAACAGAAATGGAGTCTCAGATATCAACTCATCCGTGATTTTAGATAAGCCTTCGAGTAAATTATTATCAATAATTAAGTATATGCTATTGTAATTTTTTTATTATATTAAGAAAAGTATATATATATATATATATACATATATTTTACTTGTTTTATATATTAATTCTACGATCTGAGAAATATAATTTATTATTTACGTGTTTCAGGAGCCATACATGGTGGTGTAGGAAATACCGGCTTGTATATATTTTTTTTTAATTTAGTTTTTTTGTTTTTATTTTAGACCTACGGAAATCGCTTAAGATATTTTCCCTCAGCTAGACATTCTCAACCTTCCTTTAGATGATGATAATTCAATATTTGATATGGCTTTGGGTCAAATAATAAATATTATAGTGTCTTATAATATGGGTTGGACAAAACGAGATAATGGACGTAGCTATGATAGCTTAAATGGCTATAGCACAATTATTGGATTTTGTCCGGAAAAATTTTGGATTACGCCACGAAAAACCGGAAATGTAAAAAATGCGATCTTGGGCACAAAAAAGATGATCATGATTGCCGATTAAATTTTTATGGCGGTGCTAAGGCAATGGAAGCTGATGCAGGGGTTCAACTTATTAACCACAGCAGTATCCTTAAAGAAGCTGGACTGCAAGTACGAGTTGTCATTAGAGATGAGGATAGCTCCATGATTTCTGCAGTACGAGCGGATAATCGAACTGGGAAATTCTACAAATTAGCTGATGAAAATCATTTAATAAAGAACTTTTCTAATGAATTATACAAAATGAGGGAATAATTTAAAGAATTAGCTGGAAACGATGTTATTCTTTATATTAAAAAATGCTTCTCGTACGATGTGTCTCAAAATAAAGGCAATCCTCAAAATTTAGCGGTTAATTGCGAAAATTGCGGTAATTGGTGCAATCCACATAAAAAAACATACTATTCACTTCTCCAATGAAGCACTCCATGAAGAATTAGTAGACTTATTTCAAAAATATGCATCCAATTCCTCCAAATTCTCAATTGCAGCTTCAAGCCAAAGTAACGAAAGTTTTAATAATATTGTTGCAAATAAAGCACACAAAAATAAATGTCTAAGTACAAGTGCTGCTTGTGATATTAGAGTAGCTGAAGCTGTTTGCGTAAAAAATGACGGTGAAAAAAGTATTATAAACATTAAACAATGATTGAATCTTCCTATTGAATCTCGCACAGTCGAGTTCGCTAAACGAAGTAATTCGAAACGAGAGAAAAGATTAATTCTAAGTCAGTCAAAATCAAAAAAATCAAGACGAGTTGAATAAAAAAAGGAAAGGAAACTGTTAAAGACAAAAATGAACAGCACGAAGGCATTACCTATGAAAGTAACTGCGGGATTAATAAATTCAATAATTACGTACGTAAAGACTGTGATAGTAATAACAATAACATTATATTAGAAGATGAAACAAATGTTGTTTATTTTGATATTAAAACCACGGGATTCGCTGCAAATGTCCATATTTTACAAATTGCAGCTATCTGTAATTACCAAATTTTTAATGTCTATGTATACACGAAGTCCGAAATTTCAACGTCAGCGAGTGCTGTAACTCAACTTTACCACAAACATGGAGATTTATATCATAGAAACAAGAAAGTTGAAAGTCTTATATTTTCTGATGCATTAGAATCATTTAAACAATTTTCATTTAATTTATCTAATGGGCGAAAAAAATGTCTATTAGTTGCGCATAATGCTTCATTTGACGTTCCTCGACTTTTAGGCGCTGTTATTAATGCGAAATTGCTTGGAACTTTAGATTTAATTGCAGGTTTCGCAGATACCTTAACATTATTTCGATCAGTCTTGATCGATAGGAAAGGTCCTGGTCAGTTTAAATTGGAAAATGTAAGTAAAGATTTCTTACAGATTTGTGATAACGATCAGCAATCATTTCACGATGCTGCTTATGACGTTGTGATATTGCAAAAATTGACTGAAACATTAAAATTAGAGAGTAAGTTATTCAATGCGAATGAAACTTGTGATTAGTGCTTACAAGAATTGTCAAAGTCAGACAAAACTAAAGTGAATTTACGAATGTCTGCTGAATTAAAACATATTGTTTCTATGAATATGTGCAAAAAACTAGCTTCAATTGATATTTCATGTGATCATTTGAAACAAATATACAAAGAAGGAGGCGAAGATGCTGTTGTAAAATTGTTTACAAAAAAAACAGATAATTAGAAAGTGAGAGCAACAAAAAAAAACATTATATCGAAAGTGTTAAACTTTCTGAAAAATCAAAATTTGCAATAGACAAAAAGTTGAAAACAACCAAAAGAAAATTTAAAAGATAGCACTTATACCTAAGAAAAAAAAAATATAACTAACTAGTATTTTATGTTAATTTAAAGTTTATGATGTTTATATGTTACTTATTTATATTAAATACTAATAAATATTCCACTTATTATAAAAAATGACTTTTCATTTTCAGTGACCCATAGTGAACCTATATCTATAAGCTGCTGTCATTTATTGAGAGCTACTGTGCTTTCATAATATTTCAAACTTACCGCGCAGTGCAACGTTGCCAAGTCGCCATATCTCACTACATGAGAAGTGAAAATAATCGAGAATCAGCTCATTTTAAAAATTTTTTATCACAAAACTAATACCGCTCGTCATAGTGATTTTTACAGAAGGATATCCATTACATCTTTAATCAATAATTATCAGTTTTTGAAAACAATTGTAAGAAAATTACTATTGTTATTTAATAAAACATTCGCTTTAACATTGATCGAGATAGGGTTCCTATCTTAAGCATGCAAATTTTAATAGTCAATATTTCTAAATTTACTACCGCAAGAACGATTAAAAAAAATTTATACGTACAGAGGGCACTTATGAGAATGTGTATTTAAAGTTTCAAATGAATCGTAAGAAAATTGATTTTTTTTGGAACGTCTTTAAGGCATCATAGTCAGTAAAAACGAAGATATTTAAATTCGAAGATGTACTGACGACGTCACACAATATTTTTTATGTGAAGGGTAGTTGGTAGTCTCGGTGAGCATAATAAAAAGAAAGCGCTAGAAAGAAAATGAGACGATGATCGAGGACTTAGCTCTGAATATGTAACGCCATTTGAGATTCTAATTCTAACATAGGATATTTAAAGTTGATCAAATATGAAAACTCTTTTTGTGCACTTAAATGTTGGGTTTGTGAAATGTAAAGTCAGTCGAACAAGAACTCGTAAGATTTCAAGCTGTTGGAGCAAGTTTAACGAAAAATAATTCGATCTGGGGAATGATTAGTTTAGATGAAATCAGTCGATTTAATTCGATTTATTTCAGAGAGCGAAGGAAATTGCCGGAAGTTTTTGTTAATTAAGGACGCTATCTTTACCATCGAAAGTAAAATGAATGATGTTTTTTTAGAATTCAGAAAATTCCGAATGGTCGTTCAAAATAAATTTATATGAATAGACTCGCTCTGTATGATAATGATTAAATTTAGACTCTTTTTGGATTCCTAATTTTGGTTGAATTCAGGATTTTTTGATCTTACCGTCTGAAAACGTCGAATTCACAATATCGCTTCAGGAGCGTTTTCGTAGAGTCACCATCGGTTTTCCACCGATGAAGCTATAAGTATTGTTAAAATTCCATTTATTAACGGTGAAAAAAAAAGTAAATTCAGGCACTAGCCTTCCATGGCATCCTATGAAATTCTAACAGTCGGCTAAAACCATTGAACTTGGGTTTTTGAAAATTTCTAGGAAGGTAAATCATTTGAATATTGTTGTTGTGTGTCAACTAGTCGGATTTTATGAATAGACTGCGTAGTGAGTTATTTCTTTGACAAAAGTACCCAAAAAAGTAAAATCATTCATTTCAATAAAAAGGAATTCGAATTTTTATGAGATGATATTACGCATGTGACAGAAGGTAAATAAAAAACTAAGTAACTTCTATATACGGAAGAAATTTTTTTTTTTTTATTATTATAACTAATATGATTGTATATAATGTTTTTTGACACAAACACATTCCATTATCCATATATTGTATATAAACAGAAACATCGATGTTGTGCTGAAGTTTCATGACTCTCAATGTCTCTACTCATTACTGTTTTAGTGATTCGCTTAGAATTAATGACAAATGTTCACGAAAGATCTATTTTATCATTTGTCTGCTAGATGATTCCAGAGTAATATTTCCATTCTTGAACAATTATAATTGATTATGTCTTACAATATGATATTATTTAATTAATTAAATTGCACTTCATTTTCTTTAAAATGGCAGAATCATTCGTTCGAAGTATTTCAACGCTTTTCCTGAAGATAACGCTGTATTAGGATTTCTATAAATATCAATAAGTTATTTTTGATGTAATGTCGTTCTTCTTGCTTTCTCGCAATGTGTAAGATAGATTTCGTGAAATAGGACGGAGTTGTATAACAGAAAGTTGCAGAGGCGCGCACTCTTTGATTCAAAAAATAAGCGCGTACTAGTAAAGTTAGCCATCAAGTAATCCCAACTAATTTTTCAAGAAAAATTAGTAAGGTCGATTTCAGTACTGTTTAACAGAAAAGTTTTTACATTTTTTTTTTATTACATCAGAAAATCGTACCAAGCATTGTATTTTATTGAATATTTTAATAAGGAAAGTATTATATTTCAAGGAATTGAAAAAATTCTTTTATAAAATTTGATGTTGTTTTTTATTGTTATGATTAATTTGATAAGATGAATCAATAAGATTAAATATTATGATTTCACAATTTAAAATAAAAAAAATTCATTTTTCTTTATAAAATTAGTTGTAAATTATAGAGATCGAAATCGAGAGCAGAATATTTGCAAAATTACTGGCAAGAAAAAATGTAAAGGAAAATTAGAAACTGGAGGTATATGTCTTATATTTTAGTTATCATATCTATTGTATCTGCTCTTTCCTAAATTAAACAATAATAAGTGTCTTTAAAAAGAAACATTGCGTTACTCCTACTGTCAATTAAATGAAATACAATTGACATGAAACATTGTTTGTTAATGAATTATTTTTTACCAACTGATTGTGCCGAAATCCCTGACATTATTGAATTTTTTGGAGTAAAATAGTAAAAATAAAATAATAAGTTCGTGAGTATCTTTCTCATGAATAATTATATTAATAGGTAAAAAAAAATTTATTCGTGCCAGTTAACTGTAGCCACTATTTACTCGTTTATTGATGTAATAGGAACAGCACAAACATCCGCTGATTTGAAGTCACTGCTATCTGTGAACAGAATAAATGATTTCTTATGAGTCATAGATTGAGGTAAATTTTTATTTGAGCTTAATTCGGCATTTAATAAATGAAAAATTTCAATTCTATATTTGATTTAACAACACCCTAATGACTGTAACCTAGAAATATGTCAATTTTCCGGTCATTCTGAACATGTTAAAATATGGTCAAATGGAGTCTCAGTAAAAAACTACACATTAACGAATTCGCCAAGCATAGTATTTTTAGCCATTCCACGGGAACCTTTCTGTGCAGACATTGTGTCTTCGAATCTACAATCAAATAATCAATAAAAGTGTGATGTCTTTAGACTGGCAGCTATTAACCTAAAATTCTACGAAAATCAGGAATTCCAAACAAGAGTCGAAAATTTATAAATTATCTCCATGAAGGGACAGTCTATTCAAATAAACAACTTTTAAATGACCAGTCAGATTTTTCTGTATCCATCATACATTTTTTAAATGACCAATTTGACCACATAACGAACACTGCAAATATTGAGAATTAAAATTATCATCGTTCATATATATTTTTTAGAAAAATTTTTTAATCAATTAATATTATCATCTAAGTTATTGTTTCTATAATTATTCCTGTTCTTAAGCAGATTTCAAGCACACACTAAGTTGCTTGTTGCAATGATTCGATTCTATCTATCCAAAAAGAAAGCTCATTTTACATTTCTTAAACCAGAAATAAACTGAAGTCTAGCTATTCTTTCTCGATCATGGAATGAAATCGTAGGAAACGCATATGTAACTAATTTATTTATTTCCTCGAAATAATTAGTGATGGTTTTAATTGGACTTTGTTTTCTCGATTAAGAACAATTAGAATGAGATAATAAGCATGTTGTTATCTACCGAAACGATACTCTATACGTTCGGTTAATTTTTAAATCATCTTTACATAAATTTTTAAAATATTATGTGCTTTGTCCTTCAAACAGGACACTAATATTAACGCTTCAACCTCATAAGTCCAATAATATTCTAATATGTCCAATATGATTCCACAAAAGTTTCGAACATCACAACTGAACGAAGCAAGACCGATTCAACCCAATAATCTGCTTCATTTAATGCAACAATCGAATTTTTGGAATATTAATTTTCCTCATTCAAGTTATTAGTATCAATGTCACCATTATTATTCGAAATGTTACTATTGTTATTATTAATGAATTAGCTGTTTCATCAAACTGTTCTTAAATAGTCCTTGAATATCTAATTCATTCTTTCTCATCAGTTCTCCCAATTGATTAACCTATCAACGCTCGAAATGATACTATATCTATAGTCATATTTAATCTATTGCCATTGATATTAGGATCATAGTATTCTAGTGAATAATTCTACACAACTAGTTTTGAAGGTGCTTTTTTAGATAACTACACTTTACAAACTTAAGGTTCGTTTTTCTGTGTAAAATTTTAAGTTAAAAAGAAAAATATCGACATTTTTGGGAGTTCTCTACTTAATCTAATATTATGAAGGTTCAATATGCATCTGCACGACTCATAGTCCACCAGCAGTGACTAAATCATCCTGATTCCGTCTCGACCTACCACGATCTCCTGAACTTCTGGGTATGATTTACAAAAATTAATCACTGAACCAACGCATGAACGACATACTTCTGGCACTAAACGTAAAATACGACAGAATAATTTCTTCAAGAAATGTTTAAAAATAATTGAAACGTTCACGAAATCAATCGAAATAAGCAACATGTACATCGCGTTTTTCCGATTGTAACTCACAACCTCTATTATTTTTGTTCAATTTAGATGAGGTTTATCAACCTTTCGCAATAACTGTAAGATTTTTTATTTACAATAAACATGGGTGTAAATGTGTATATTTATTAAAAGACAAAAACTACTTTGATAACAAAAATTCTTCATAATCTAACCAAGTTATTTTGACTATCTTCCAATGAACCTAAACAATCAGACCGATTATAACAACTTTTCATTGAGCGAAGAGTAAAGAATCTTAGTGGACATTAATAATAAGTATTTATGTACATAAGATACTCATTTCTTAAGAAAGTAGAGTAGAGCAGTAGTGATTCAGTAGATTATCCACAACATTTGCCCTCTTTCCATAGAAAGAAGTTAAATTCTCAAGATTTTTTGATTTTCAGAAGACAAAAAGCCACAAATCTTAACTTATCTTAGCTAGGGTTAAAATTACAGATATTATCTTTTTCTCTCTTGGTTTTTCTATTACCCAAAGAATGGTCAATAATTTTCAATCATCACTGCAGTTATTATGAATCAGTTAACAGTTATTTGAATTTTTACACTCCTACAGAAATGATAAAAATTGAACTATATGTTCAATCGCACTGACTACATGTGTATCAAAAAGGAAAAAATTGCTCACATAATTAACTGAACTCACATTTAGATTATTACTTATATCTTCTTATTTTTATTAGGCCCTCATGAAGTAAGCTAGAAAGAGGAAAATTATGAATCAAAAGAAGAATAATTAAACATTTCCTTAAAGATTTGTTGTCTTTCGACAACTAAGCTCATTTGTATAACTTCGACCTAAATGTATTGTACGCACCTTCGATGATGTTATGAAAAATACTCGGGAGAATTACGTAATATTTTTTGATAAGTATTTCAATTATTTTGAAACTTAATGGAAAAAACAAACACGACCACACGAATTCTTGGTCTATTTCTTAAGATTAAACAAGTAAACATATCAAATCTTGTTATTAACAATTTAAGAAATCGTTAGGAAAACATCTTTTAATTGATCATCTTTGAGGTAAGTAGTTCATCAATTGTTGTTATTGACGAAAAAAAGTGATCATAAACCACTATTGTTCAAAGATGGCTCGAAACAATGATTATTATCGGATCATCATAATTACAATCAAACGAAAAATAATGCATGTGAAAAAAAAAATTGATTAATGTTAAAAAAATACTCAGTAGATCATCTTATTCTTTTCCAACGAGAATATTTACGAACGAAATTAGAGAAAAGTCTTATTTGAATTTAAGAAAAACACTGTAGTATCAATCATAATAATTTACTTCACAAGCAGGATCATTATGAAAGTCTGGAAGAAAACAATTAAAATAATTACGTTAATCATTGCAATAACAATACTAACGGCAATATTTATAATAACAATAGAGATGAGGATAACTACGAAAATAAGAATTATTATCATATTGATAATGACTGTGAAGAAGATGAAGATAATTATAATATTTATAATGGCAAAAAGAAATAATAAGATTATTATGGCGATTATTGGAATACAGATAATAACAACATGGGTGACTTCAATTAATTTCAATTGAGAAATGACTTAAAGATGAACTAGAGCCAGAATTCATATCCTATCCTCCGCTTTTAAGTTAGGACAAAATTTATCGGATGTTTCTGATCGTGATAGTATAGATGGTGTAAAAGACCCAGAGAAAAGACATGATCTCCACATCTTTATCTCTGTTCTGACTTCAATGAGTCGGCTGACTGAGAAGTCGGGAATTTGTGGACTGTATTTTTTAGGATATTTGGATGCTAGAACAGTCGAGATTTTTGAGCGGTATTAATGAATCGGCTGACACTATTTAACAGTAACAGTTAACGATTTATTAAACAACAAAGTAACAGTAACCAAAAAAAGAAAAGATAAGAGAGTCTTTGAATTGTCTGTAGTTGTGAATTTTCCTGTACTGGTTTCTGCACCAGGAGTCGTCTGATTTGCAATGTGTTTGCGTCAGTCACACAGACACAAGCGAGTTGTCCTGATGGATCTTGTGTGTGTGACTGTCCATGAGGCCGTGAGGCGTCTGTGCCGCCATCGTTCGAGCATTTTGCAACGAAGATGCTCATTCGGACCAGTTTGAGCCTACTGGCTAAATCAATGAATTCTCATATGTACCACTTGTCTGACATCCTATTATACTAAAGGCTTTCATACAATTGAGACGATAAGGCTGAGGATACGAATACGCATGTGTACAGACCAAGGTTTTACCATTTTGACATGCGCATCAAATTATTTACTATCTCCTGACGATAATTTGCCGTATGCGTTGCTGAGTATTTTTGCTCTGAGTGAGCTGCTGATGCATGCGCAAAAACTTTTCTTATTGTTCTCACTTGGAGGGCTCTAAGTCAGCGAGCCTAAAAAAATTAAAAAATAGTGTAATGCTGGACTTGTCCACCGGTGCGTCAGTCAACTCATAAGACCAATCGTCGGGAAGTATTTCCCTAACGGCCCTAGTGACGCCAATAAGCACGCGGTCGAGCACTTGTGTCAATACGCAGATTTGTGCTGTAAACTCACAGTCTTTGATTACAACTCAGTTCAGTCATCTCAGAAAAGATCTTACATGTGAACCATTAGAACCAGTCTCTACAGTGCCAGTGGTCCAGAAGAGTCAGTTGTAGTATTTTTGAGCGCAAAGCTGAGCTGGCGGCGACGCTATCGTGCCTCACGGACAGTCACACATATAGCACACGCGTGCACAACTCTGCTGTACTTCCGTGTCTGTCGCTAAAAGTCTGTATTAGATAATACGGATACGTGAAAAAATGGATCCTCAAATTTTTTTTGCACCACTAGCCACGGAACCCGGCGTTACTCGGGTTAAAATACATCGTATGATTAAGATAAGATTAAGATTCAGATTTCCCAGGTTCAACAAACAAGAGAGTGGAACATTGATTCAGCACTGACTGGACGTGTCTCCAGATTGCGGATAGAAGCATTGTCCGGGTAGTACTGAGTGGTGGCCTCGGTGACTGGAAGGCGTACCGAGTGCAACCACGAAAGAAGCTGCTTGCAATGGTAGTTTTGGATACGAATTTAAAAAATCAGTTGCGACAGATTATGTCGTTCTTGTTATTGCACCAAAGATACATGGAAATTATTTTCTTATGACGATGCTTATATTTCTCGAACCAATGCTACACATTAAGAGCATTTTCAGATTATACACGATAATACTAGAACTGAAAAAATTTGGTGAAAGTATATGTTATTCATAAAAATGCTTCAATTGTTATTAATTTATAGTTAGTAATTAACTATAACACTTGTATTACATCAAGAGAGATCTAAACTATAAGTGTATGCAAAAAAAATGTTTCCGAACTACGGGTTACATATTTATTTGAGTAAACCCAAAAATGACATATTTCAAGGTCAAGGTCTTAGAAGAGTTGCAAACTTGAAGCTAGAATTACCCTTATAGAAAACTTCGTATGGCTACGATATATTGAGTTGTTTTGAATAATTTATAGATAAACGTATTGTTATACTGTATAATAGTATCATACCTGCATTGAGTTCTCGTACCAAAGAGGACATTGCATTTGTAACGCTATCTGCTGCAACTAAGAGATCATTCCTTAAAGATTTTACGGGACAATTGTTTCCGTTGATGCTGTTACAGCTTGGAAGAGCAGTAGTTCTGAATGCCGATCTATAAATAAATGGACATAGTTCATATTTGTCTAGATCAATAGAAGTTAAACTTCATTAATAATTATGCTTTCTTCCCATTCTCTGAAATTATGTTCGTCTTGTGCACAATATATTGTAAAATAAATGTATGTCGCTGTTTAGTTCTTTTCTGATACAAGTTGAAGTCATTAATTTATCATATTTTACAATATGGTAAAGCAGTCAGGTAATATTAGTATACAATAATTTTGAAAATAACAATAAATTATTTACATCTTACAATTAATTTTATTGTCAAACTAGTTGCAGTAATTGAAATATCTAGTCAATATTGTCTTCATTTTTTAAAAAAATTTTTATTCTTTCGCTTAAAAGTATTTTAAATGATTAATCATTTCATTTATTTATTATTAGTTTTTTATTATGTAAAAAACGTCTCAACCAAAGTTGTTCAATTTTTGCTCATATCATCTTTATTACAATATCTTTCGAATAAATTTTTGTTGAAGTCGACGTCTTAATCCATTTTTACGATATCGGAAACGGAGAAATACTAACGTCCGTACGTACATACATACATACATGTATCAGATCGATATGTACAGCTAGTATTTACATAAATCTCAATTATCATTAGTATTTTTAATTTCAAAAATAATTAAGTCATGAGTACTGGGTTCATTAAATTGTATTTAATTATACATGTAACTGTACACAACAATTAGACGATTAAAGAGAAATATAATTTAAACGATACAACGGAGACGTTTGAAATCTTTCGGAAACCCCATTAACTTATAGTCCAAGAGCAGTGTGAATTCCTAATGCATCAATCTTAGAAGGATTAAAAAATTTTTTTTATGGCGTGTCTCGTAAAAAATTGACGAGAAGAGCATTTGTGCCAAATGTCATTGTTCGAAAATAATTTTTACTATTGATTATTAACAATTGAATTTGGCAAAGTGCATTTTTTGACCTTTCACTGCTTACGCAGCGAGAACCGTTCGTTTTTCGGAAAAAATGTAGATACCGTTTTTGTAAAGAATCAATTAAAATCCATGCTATCAATGAGAGTGTTTCAATGCCTATACAAGAAAAGAAGTTTTGGAATAATATTCATAATATAGAATTGTTACAACTGTACCTGAAAAGCTCTATAGAAGAATGTATAGCGTTGAACTTATTTTTGATGACAAAAATTATTATAAAGACTAATAATTACTCTTACAGATCTACAGATTTATTTAAATCTGTAGAAATTTAGAATATTTGTCATTGTATGACCGTGCAATCATTCACATTAATAATGCTGTGCTGGAAGGGCGTTATTTTGTAAAAATTGGTGATAAAAATGTACTATTGGCATAGATTCCAGACGTTTGGTTTAAAAGGTAGTAAAACAAGTATTATATTGACGTTTTTCAATGGATTACAGGAAATTATCATTTGAATTTATAACATTGATGAATTAAAATTCTCGATAAAATAATGAAACTACTTTGAGACAATTTGCATTTGTCAGATAATTTTTGTTACTGATTTGGAAAAATTTGAATTTAAAATGTAAACATGAATTTATATAGTAATACATTTTTTTTATCTATCAGGAATTAGGGATAGAATTCATGACTGGCAGAAGAAAAGTGATCATCCCAGTTCATCACTGGGTACTTCATTATAAGTTAGCATTTTGCTAAGTGTTACCAGCACTTCATTTTTTGACGGGTTCGTCATATACAAGCGGAATAGAAACTAAATTAAGAGCAATTAAAGCAAACCCATCAAAGTATTTACAAGATTTTGGTAAAAGTGAGTAACTATGAATAAATCTGTTTTGATATTATACAAAGAAGTCTATTACTGTTTAAATAATTATTTTAATAACAGTAAGTTTAATGATTTGTTATTTCTTCATAAAGATTATTGAACATAATTAAAAAATACTCCGAAAATATTTTGTCTGTGTTAAATTATATTCAATAATGTTACAGGTACTTGTCAATGGCAAATGAATAAAATAATACAGAATAGTGAAAAATATTTGATTGGAGTAGTGAAAAAAAATAGTAATTGTAAGACTTTTAACGAGTTAAGAACGTGGGAGTAAACAACTGGAAAATCAGAAATTGTTAATGATCTGTCTCCAACAAGTGCAACAATATCTCTGCACATTTTACAAGCATTTTATATCACCAATAAAAAAATTTCATTACTTGAGCCACTTCGTCAAAACGTGAATCCATTGAAATTTGGGAACAGTATAACAAACAGTATAAACAAATTTAGGACAACTAATACCACAACAAGTAACAAATCTATATCCTCCAATTGATAATTTACCACCACCGTGTGATTGTAAGAAATGTTCGAACAGTTGTCAATGTAAGAGTTTTAATGTTTTGTATTGTGCATTTTGTACCTGTGTTGAAAAAAAATCTTGTGAAAATTATATTTTTATATAAATAAAATAATATTTTTTTCAATGAAAAAATTGAAATCATAATGACAATACTAATTCGGAGTCAATAAATAGATCCAAGAAATTTTTAAAAATTAAAAGAGAAAAATTTCAATTATTAAATTATATTTAAATCAAATAAAAAAATTATAGTGAAATTGTATAATTTGAAAAATAAATAAATGAAGAAATAAGTATATTGCTGAATTATTTAAAAACTTATATAATTGAATAACATCAAGTTTTATGTGCGAGCGGCGGCATAGCCAGTGGTGCGCATTCAAAAATGAGCTTCATTTTAATAAAAAACATTATTCTGTGTAAACTATTGAGGGTAGAAAAAAAAAAAATTTTATTGGAATCCTAGCGCGATTCTAAATAATTTATATGGATAATTTTTCCATCTCAGATTAATAGATTTTGAGATATTTAAGAAAATATATCTGAAAGAACGTAGCACGCAAACGGCGTACAGACTGCGCTCGAACGTAAGTGAGACAGACCATAGGTTATAACTGCGTACAAGTGAGAGACCCGATCAATCGGAGCATTAACAATACATTTTATTTCAATTTCATAATAAATAGTTGAAATACAAAAAAATACTTTAAACAAAAGTTGTAGCCAAGATTATAAAGAACATTTTTTTTAAAGAATTTTCTTTGTAAAATTAACGATATGGCTTGTTCAGCAGTTTAAAGTATAAATTTGCTAATAATAAAAAATTGACCACAAACATTAAAAAATAAACTTGGTACTCGTGATCCCCACCTAAAAACTATAAAATCGCGTTGGAAAATCAAGTGAACACCCAAATGTATATGGGCTTCTATCTAAAGCCAATGGACTAGTTAGTCTTCGTTGATCGTTCAAGCTATTCATTGATTTGTCGATGTATCGAATAAAAAAAGTACTTTGTCACAACAATTGATAATATTTGGTGTTGATTTTGTGCATTCGGTATTATCATCCTCCAACTTAACCATCAGGAGTCTACATTTGGTAATCCTGGAACGAACATTCCATCGTAGAGAGTTATTTATCGTCTGCAAAGATACAACCAAGGTATTCCTAGTGAATATTGGCTGACCAACTGCCAACATTTGCTCAAAACTCAAGCAATTTTAAACAATCCACTTTTGGTGAGATAATCTGATTCATTTTTGCTTTTCTTAAAGCTTATGATAGAAAGAAAGTTCCACTATAGACATCACAGTAGTTCAACGAGCAACTTAGATAGTCACCCTATAACTTTACCATGAGCTGAGGTTGACTTCTACTAGTAAGGTTCGCTACAGATGATTGCAATAGCCAACAACGCTACTCAGGTAATCATCTGGTGGCCTGAGAAGTCAACGTTTTGTTTTGTACTCAAGAAAAAAACCGTAACGTTTCAAAAAGTCACTCTAGTTCAGCAGCGACTCGAGTGATAGCTAAATCGATGAAACTATTCTATTTCTGCTCTTCTCAGTAAAATTCTACTCTTCCAATAAGCATACATGAGTATAAGCTATTTAATGACATTTGTTCTACTTTAATTAAAAGTTTTCATTCACGACTACAAGGAGAGCTGTTTGACTTACTACAATAATCCATCTAAAAATTCTATAGAAAAGAAAAGTTGCGTTCGAGTTCAAGCATAGCTCACTTTTTTATACAGCATGAACGAATATCTCTGATTATCACAACGTACACAAGAGAGTAAGAACACATATTCAATCATCAGAACATAAGTGGAAACGTTCGAACACATAATGTAACGTTGAAACATATTCTTGTTCGACAAGACCATAATTTAGAATATTGGACGATTAGAGCATTAAAAAAAATTCTAAGAATGCATTCTTCATTATTAGAACATAGACCGGAACATTAGAATACATATTCGACTATTCGAACATAAGTAAGTTTGTTAGAACATATATTTAATCATTTAAACATAAGTTAGAACGTTTAATTGCATGATTCAACGTTAAAACATCTTGACGAACATTAAAACATAAATAAGTTGTTATAAACACATGTGTTATGGTCAAAATATATGTGTGAACTTTAAAACACATAATTTATTATTGAACCATAAGTTGAATCGTTGATATACATATTAAAACATTTTTTTTATCTTATAATGAGAACGTGATGCTTTCATCACAAAATAAATAAAAATTTTAATCAACTCTTAGTAAAATTACTAATTATTAATTTAGAAATTTAAATTATTAAATTACAAATTACTTTTGTATTTAGTAATTTAGCGAAAAAAATTTTAAATTGTAATTGGATCTAAGAAATTACAAATTACATTATCAATTGATAATTTTAAAAATAAAATTATCAATTAATACTGTTACAGAAGTAATTGATAATTTCTTTTTTCTGATAAACAATTTCCTAGTAGTTGAGTAATGTGTAATTGAAAGTACTCTTTTTGACGATCCCTGGCTAGTATTAAACATTTTTGTTTTAAAATGAATAGATTTATCAATACTTTACTCGTTTAAATAAAAAAAGACTTGAAGTTACTCCTTTCCTTTAGTAAATGGGATCTATGATAATGGTAA